GACAGTCACTGAGGGAAAATGGAGAAGAACTCAAAAGGCAGACACACGAATTGATAAAGTGTAGCCACGGAGTGACGTTAAGGGTAGAGCTGGGTAGGTATCCTATATCTCACCAGTCCTCAAGGGTATTACTGACTTAGAGAACATAGTCTTTGATGTCCATAATGCATAGTTTGAGTCACCATAAAATGTTTCAATTGTATTCGTTAGACTCTGTGTGAGAAGACAGGTAAGCGTGTAGCGCTTGCTAGAAAGATTTCCTTCAAAAATGGTTACGATTTTTAAAGTTTATCCCTAAGGGAAGAGATTTAGCTATAATGAAAATTAACTTCTATAAAATATCTCATTTCCCAATGTGTCAGATAAATGAGATATTATGCACATAATCCTAGCATAAAAGAAATTCTCTGTTCCCCAATTATGGAAGAAAAAGGAAATATTGATTTGGGTACTTTCTATTTCAATGTTGAAAGCAGGTCAAATAGATAGCATTTCAGGGGTCTTAGCAATTTCTTTAAGAGCTTCTGCAACACATTATTTGCACATAAGATTTTTTTTGGTGAGGATTCAGTGATTGCTTAGCAGAGGGCCTGGCACATGATAATTTCTCTTCATTATTATTACTACTGACTTTAATCCATTTTTTTCTTCTCTTAAATTTTCTATGTACTAGTTAGTTTTCACTATGTATCTTTCATTTCTTAGTTTTAATTCATTTGTGCTTTCGTGTGTCAAGAATTAAGTGACGTTAAATCAAAACCTTTTGGTAGGTATTCTTAGAATTACCATAAATGGTCACAGTGGAATAAAGCAGAACAGATGCTGGCAGCTGCACTTTTTTGTGGAGACATGGTGGTACCTGATAGGAAAATGAAGACTCTTTCTCAAACATCTGGAAATAAAGGAAATGGACCTGTTTTCAGAAAGAGAACTGGGGGCTGGCCTGGTGGCATAATGGTTAAGTTTGCGCACTCCACTTCAGCAGCCCAGGATTCAGGGGTTTGGATCTCAGGTGTGGACCTACACACTGCTCATCAAGCCACATTGTGGAGGCATCCCACGTACAAAATAGAGGAAGATTGGCACCGATGTTAGGTCAGTGACAATCTTCCTCAAGCAAAACAAGGAAGATTGGCAACAGATGTTAGCTCAGGGCCAATCTTCCTCACCAAAAAAAAAAAAAAAAAAACAAAGAAAGGAAGAAAGAGAAACTGTATGAAGTTATCTTCAAAAAGGGAAATGGGTTAGAGCAGCAGCTTTATAAAAGTATTAGCTCATTTAAATTTTAAAAAAGCTTTAGTCCTAAAGGATGTATTGATCAAGATCTAATTGGTCAAACAGAAAATGTGGTAGGTATGTAAGACAAACTATATTTAATACAAAGAGTTGGTTACAAAGGAGTTGGAAGAGCTGGACGAACAAAAGGAGAAGGAGCAGGTACAGGAAGAACAGAAAGGGTGACTGCCAGTGTGCTGCTAACTTCTCTGAGATGGAGCCTCAAAGCTGCCTCCACTGCTGCTTGCTGCTGGATTTGCTGATTGATGCTTGAACCATCAAGAGATGCTGCCCCAGCCAGAGCCGAAGTGCCACTGAGATTCCACTACTGATGAAGCTGAAAATGCCGAAGAGATGCTTCTGCTGCCTGGACCACCTGAGGCCACAGCTGCTTTTCCCCTTTGCTGACCTAGCAACAGCCAGCAAAGGCCTCAGCTCTTGGAGCTAGAAGCTTGACGTTTTCTTTCTTCCTGCTTCTGCCCTCCTAGCAGGGTCTCCTACTGATGAAACCTGATAGGAAACCAGCAAGCAAGAGAGCTGGAAACGTAGCTAGGCTCTCAGGCTCGGCACACAAAGCAGACTATAGACACGTGGAGGTCGGGCCATGACTAGATGGATTAGATGAATAACCAACTTAGCAATTCAGCATCCATGCACACTCTCTTCTACCTCCCATTACCTTCCACTACCAACAGTAATCCTTGCATGCTTCCACCTAACGTGGTACTACTATGCTTTGTACCAGTGAAGATGCTCTCACCCTCCATCACCGTATTCCATATCTGGGTGGCATTAATTTCCTTTAGTTTAGACACAATCCACCTGGATATTCTGCAACTTAAAAACTAAAGTAAATTAACACCCATTAACTTTCTTTATATAAATCAATAGGGAAAAGGAGGAGGAAAAATTAGTTATTATATGCAAATCTCTATGTAATAAGCAAGAAATGAAACATGATAATATCTGCAAGTCTTGTTTCTATAACTAGTTTAATGCCATAGTTGATATTTACAACTTCTTCCCTTTGCCCTCAGCCAGTAGCTCATCTGTTCAGGGTTCGTGACCTAGTGAGGCAACCCAAACCTTCATTACTGAAGAGTCTGTGTCAGTAGTGGTCCTGGCTTGGGTTACTGTAGACTTTCAATCCTTATATGTTTGGACCTGGTCAGGTAAAGAGATGCCCTTGAGAATGTCCTGGGTGTCAGCATGCAGCTGGAAGCTAATTTCTTCTTCCAGATAGTGACTTTTTTCTTTGCCTATTGGTAAAGTTGCATGAGCATCCCAAATTGCCCGGTAATATTCTTAGTTTTTTGGTTGCAACCCATGATATAAGCATTCCTCTTTGTGGGTAGAGAAAACAAGAATATTTTGTGTGGCTTAGTAAGTGTAACAGTGAGAGGAAACACTCTGGCTACCTCCTCTCTATTCCCATTCCCATGTGTTCTCACTATAGAAAAATCAGCATCAAATGCTTGTCCCGAGTTCAAAGCAGATTCAGCATCCTGTGGCAACTCCCAACCCACAGGGTGTTATCACTCAGTTTGAGCTGTAATGTAGGCTTCAAGAGTCTATTCCTCAATGTCTCAGGCTATGGGTTGATGAGATATATAGAAAGATGAGTAAGTTCCGTGGTGCTAGCTCATTCTCTACTTCTTTTGCTATAAACTGATTTCTTAAAAGCAGTGTCGTGGGGGGGTATCCTGACAATGGGCGCGGCATTCTATTTGCAGAAAATGGTGCTGCTGGACTGTTGTGAGCAGGTTCTAGAGGTAAGCAATTCCCTGCCAGAAGAGAAGGATGCTTGGGGAAAGAGCTCCTGGTCCTGCCAGTAATGCTATCCCTAATATGGTGATGGATAAGGATTGATCTACTTTCGAGACTTTAGCAAGACCAAATCTGATGTTCATAAGGCTGAGAGTCAAGCCTCCCGGAAGCCCTTATCAGGGACTTCCTTGATGACCTTGGCTTTGCTAGAGTCTTTTGTTTCAAAACGCATTGCTGGGGCTGACCCTCAGCCAAGTGGTTAAGTTCCTGCCCTCTGCTTCCGTGGCCCAGGGTTCATGGGTTCAGATCCTGGGTGTGGACCTACACATCACTCATCAAGCCATGCTGTGGCAGCATCCCACATAGAAGAACTAGAAGGACTTACAACTAGGATAGACAACTGTGTACTGGGGTTTGGGGGAGGGAAAAAAAAGAAAGAGGAAGATTGACAACCGATGTTAGCTCAGGGCAAATCTTCCTCACTAAAAAGCAAAAACAAACAGCAACAAAAACTCATTCCTTCCCCAAATCTGCTATCTCTGAGCTATGCTTTAATATCATCTTTTTAGCGAGTCTCTCTTCATATTTCAGGTATCTAGGTATCTCTTTTTTCTGTAGCCTTCAATTTTCATTCTATATTGGATGCTGATATTTTTATATGCTGCAGGTTCATTAATTTATTCATTTAATTAACATTTATTAAGTGCCTACTGTGTTTTAGCATGGTGCTAAAGCTCTAGAAATACACAGGTGAGGGAGAGTCAAGATTGCCTTGGGGATCCTTGAGGATGTCAGGCAATTAAACAAGGAATAATAATCCTAATAATGTGATAAGGGGATAAGCACTATGATGGAGGTGTAGCATGTGCTACGGGAGAAACACCTAACTTCTGTCCGTGGGGAAGTCTGTCCGACAGAGAAACACTTAAAATAACTCCTCAAGAACACACTCAGGGGGCCACTATGAAATTAATTTTACTTTGAAAGAGGTTCTAATTTAGCATGTAAGCAAAGTTTTGTTTCCCGCGGTAGAACGTTTAATCAGTTTGGGGATTCTATATTTCCAGTGAACATAGATCCCAGCTTCCTTTTGATGAAAATGTCTTGACTGAATAAATCAAATGATTATACTCAATAACCATTTAATTTCTCATCTCTTTACGAGTTGATTTCATGAAAATAGTCATGACTTTCCTTCTGAAATAAATTTTAGTTGATAATTAAACCAGCAAACGATAGCTTCTCGAGCCCATTCATGGATGTATGTCTCATGAATGTAATTTGTGCGATTTGTGCAATTTGTGAAGGCTTTTTTGTTTAGGTGGTTTAAGGTTGGAATTGAGAACATGGGCTCTGGACACAGATTGCCTTTCGAATCCTGACTCCAACACTTGCCAGCTCTGTGACCTTGAGCACGTTCCCTAATCTCTCTGTGCCTGAATTTTCTCATCTAGAAAATGGTGATAATAATACTGCCTCTTTTATAGCAGCACTGTGAAGAGAGGGTTAAAAGGAGTTCATCCACATGAGGTGCTTAGAACAGTGCCTGACACATCCTGATTAATGCATAATGCATTAACAAATAAGGTCATTCTACTTCTAGAGCACATCTATTAAGGATTCATTTTAGAAAGCCATAAAAATTATAAATGTACTTTATTCATTTTGGATCTGGAACACAAATGACAGCAGTTAATGTGATGCCATAGAAAACTTCCCACCCTGGGACTCTTGGGTTCTATTTCTGTCTCTATTAATTGGCTTAACTTGATATTCATGGGTTTAAAGCCTTTTTTATCCTTTGAAAAGAGATAGGGTTTAGACTAAGGGAAGTACCAGATACTGTGATTCAGCAATTCCAGGAAATTAGAAATCACGTCAAGAAGTGCTTGCTTTCCTTAAAACATTCTTTTCTGTTGTCTAGTGGTCATACTGAAAGCTGATTATTCTCTTCCTAGGTGTTATCACAAGTTATGGACTCTACCTAGACGGTGTATTAATTCACAATTCCACAGAACTCAGCTGTCACGCTTCCGGCTTTGCTCCTTGGAGCTCACATTCCTTCAGAGTCCAAGCGTGCACCGCCAAAGGTTGCGCGCTGGGCCCGCTGGTAAGTCTGTGAATTTGTATTCCGGGAATGCATTAAATGTCAGATGACAATGAATAGCAAGAAAGAAGTAAGTGGTGGTGACTCACTCTGCACAGCTAGCCTTTCGAGCAGGATGGGAGATTTTTATAAAATTTCATTTAAGAGTTAGTAAGATTTTATATTCAACATAAATTTCAAGATGGCACATAGGCCTACTGCAGGACAGAAACTGCATTTTACTGAAATTTCGAAAGGTAAATTGACCAGTTTAGCAGGCATACATACAATTTTGCCTAATTTAGTGATACGTCTAAAGTGGATTTTTTCTTACTTATAATGGGCTCAACAACTAAGTAAGTTTGTGATTAAAAAGTGAAAATAATCAAAAGCCTGTGACTGCTACAACATGGCAACACTGCTCCCCAACAAGTATAGTAATCAATTAAAAGGTTGAATTTGCCTCATCTGTTAGAATAAAATATTTTAATTTCATTAGTGTGATACAGCTTCATAAGAACAGTATTTAAAATTACATTAATATCAGCTTTTGATAGCCACATTTCAGAAATCTATAATGTATATCTATATTTCATTAGTCGTTAAAAGATTGACAAAATTATGCTTTTTATTATTGGTATAATTTTTAAAACCCAATTAATAGTACATAATTGTCATAGACTAGCATGATACTCTTTAGTTTCCAAACATCCCATTTTAAATGCTTTTGTGCCTTTCTCTTGATTAATTAGATTTAGCTTCTTTTAACGGAAATGCCCATTAGTTTTAGATTTTTTTTTTGGCAATCTTTGCTAATGCCCTATCATTTTAATGCACTCTGTCTTCATTGAAGAGTATATTATATAAATATTACCTTGAAAAACAGCTCTACCATTTAATTTTTGCTTCCTTATTTTTGATCACACCTCCCATTTCATTTCGGAGATTGGTTACTTTCCAAGTTGCTAACATCATCTATCGGTGGAGCTGAGCTGTAGTCTTTATTGCCATTACGTATTTTATGGCCTGCTCTGATGGTTACTTATTCTTAAAAGCAGGAATGGCAATTGGCCAGTTTTTCTTCTCCATTCAAAAAAAGAAAAAGAAACAAAAGAACACTTCGCTTGAAACTTAGACTTTTAAAAATATAAACTGACACTGTGGGTGTGGCTACTAAATTGGATCCCACAGTGTCTCCTGACGTTCTGGCAACTTTAAACAAGGGGGACACAGTTATTGATTTGCATCCTGTGCAGAGAGTTGGCCATGTTAACCTTAAGAAATCAAATGCCACAATGCGTGATGGGAACGGGGACAGTAGAATTGGATTGTAAAACCTACTCCCCCACGGCTTCATCCATTCTAGACTCAGTCCTTAGCACTTTCCTTTATCCTGTGCTCAGGATGCAAACACTTTTCCCAAGTCAATGATCCGTCTCTAATCACTGGAATTGAACAACAATATCTTTATTTAGAACAAGTCAACTATATGCTGCTAAGAAGTTAAAACTCACAGTCTTCAATTGATTTCTAAAATATTTTTGTAACAATTACAGTCCACATTATGCCCTTAAGAGATTACATATCTGAGTATTCTAAATAGCTCTGGATATCTATCACAATCAGGAAGGATAGTTCAGATTCAGCTCTTTTTCGTTCATGATTCTTTTGTCCTTATTGATTTCAGAAATCTATGAATCAATCTTAAAAGCCAGTCTTTCCTATCATTAAATTATAATATGATATTTGACAAAATTCAGACAAATGTAGCAATTGTGTATGCGTATCATTTAAAGGTATTCTTTCTCTAAAGCTCAGTGTTATAACAAACATTTCATTGAAACAGAAAATTTACAATTTCTATATTTAAATCTTTTGCTGGCAGAAATAAAAGAATAAATTTTTAAGAATCTATTGTGTTTGTTCACCTAACAACATTTCTTAATGATGACTCTTGGTTTTTAGAAAGAGAAGCCTTTTTATTTTACATCTCTTATTTCTTTCTGTGCATGTGGGAAAATACTATTCAATGTTTTCTGTGACAAATATGCTCTATAGCCTCAAATGTGGTACGGTTTATCCTCAAAATTGGCAAGTTGCCCATATAATAAAAGAAAAAATAGTAAAAAAGGACAAATTCAATAAAATTAAATGAAATACCAAATTTAAAATAAAAATGCATACATCAATCCCATATTTTTACCGCTTTAACGTTGTATTAGCTCAATATGTTTTCTTTTCTTAGCCTGACCAAGTTTGTTACCTGTTATTTGTGGTTCAGAAGGAATTGCTCTGTACCCAGCTGAAAAAAGATTTCCTGTGGTTTGTTCAGTTCTTGTCCATTTACACAATGTATTTGACTTGTAAAGAAATTCCAATGTAAAAAACTATTTGCAATGCCTATCATCCTAATTTTAAGATGCTAATATGCCTTGTCAAATTAAATCTAGTAATTGGGGTTTTATAAGAGTTTGAAATAATGAAAAAAATCGGAAAATACAACAGAGAAAAACTTTTTAAATGCTCCTTGTTCTCAATTGTATTGTTGAATTATGTTACAGAGAAACCCTTCACATTTTGTGTTTCTATAATAAAATGCAGTGAATTTGTGTATAGGAAAATCAGTTTACTTTGATTTTTCCCATTTAACCAACGTTAGATAACATTGGAATCTAAGATTGGGAATTTTCTGACTGTGTCTGAGCTTGGGAAATTCATTAGATTCAGTTCTCCAAGGACGCTCTTAAAGATGAAGTCTGCAACTATAGGTCATTGTTGTGGGATATGGTTGAAAAGCTTCCTTGGTTTCTTGGCGATGGCATGCCTACACAGATAAACACACTCAGACATACATGTACATGTACTTTCCTTTTCACGTTCATTTTTTACAAAAAAACAAATAAATTTATTTAAGACACCTAAATCTTAATGGCAATATATGTTGTGGTCAAGAGAATCCTATATGGGAAATCTACCCTAAATTTGCTATTATTCCTCATGCCTCCTTGGGAAACATGCTTATTCCACTAAACCTCAGATTTCTCAACCATTACAAAAGAAAAATAATACCTACTTTAAAAGGAGTTTCTGTGAAAGTTTAAATGAAATATTATGTATATAAGAATTTCTAGTACATGGTAAGAGTTTTATTAAGGATAAAAATTTTATTAAAACATTTGTACATTTTCACTACATTATTTGTTTTCAAATTTTTTTTCTGTGTCAAGGGAAGTTTCTGGTTGAAAGCCAAGCTGACTTTCCAGAATTCCTTTTCCTTAACATTCTTCAAAGGCAAGGTAGATAAACAGGTAAAATTTTCAAAAAAGACTAAGTCAGAGAAAAACAATCCAATTGCCAAATTTAATGTGGAGTAAAACCTGGAGTATTTATCCAGACACTTACAGAAATTTTCAAGATGTATTTATTTTGAATTAACCACATATTTGACTATTATAATATAAATATCTGGAATTGCCCATAATTCTTCAACTTTTTGAGTCATTTTATTTGGGACCCTTTAAAGTCATTGTCTATGCAATAATTTGAATCATATACATAGACATAATGAGACCAGTTGCATTGTTATGAAATATTAAAGTGATGAATTGATATTTTTCCAGTCAAGCTTCTTTATCATTTTTTGTACATAGCTATTAGGCTAAAAAGATGAGCAGGAGTTATAGACCTAAAGAACCCCATAGCCTTTCTCAGATGAAAATAAAACATGTCGTGACCTCATACTTATTAAAAATTAACACTCTGTCTTTTTCACATTTATTTTCATAATTGGGAAAGTGAATTCGCCCTAGCAAATGAAAGTTTCATAATTGAGAATATTTGCCTGCCTAAGGATTTCATATTTGATCACCTTCTTCTGAGGAGCGAGCCTGTACTTTAAGAATAAGGTCAAAATTATCAACATATTCAATAAATCTTAAAAGGTCAAACCTTTATGAGTGATGCTTATGAGCTTGTGACAATTAGTTAACACATTTAAGCCAGTTATTAAAAGATGCTAAAATATCCTGAACCCCTTTCTACTTTCTTGCCACCTTCATCTTCCTCGGGTCCCTTATCACTTTATTTATTTGGTTATTAAAATCTTTCTGGCCCCTGTGCAGCTGGAGATTCCATTTTATTCAGAGTCCTCTTCAAACAATTCACTTTTTGCTCTTTTTTGCATAGGTTCATTAACATGATATTGATGAAATTTTCAACATTTTTGTGATTATAGCTTAACGATGGAGTCACTCAGGTACACTTATTCCTTCATGTCTGGCATTATGCCATCTTTATGTACCTAGTACCAATGCAGCTTAGAAAACTGGGTATTTGTGTGTGTGTGTGTGTGTGTGTGTGAAGATGCTTGGTAAGGGCCTTTGAGAAAGTCTAACACTCTAGTCAGAAACTTATGAACAGAGACCTTACGCATTTCTTCTCCTTTGCAATCACATAAAAATTGTTTTTAAGCAGTCCTAGAAATAGTCCATGGCTATGCACCACCATAGGCACAGTCGCAGTGTGAGCAGATCCACTTTCCGGAAATCGCAGACAGCTGCCTTAGTCAGGAGCTCAAATTCTCAGCACTAACAGCAGGAGGAAGAAAAACGTGAGGGATGCTTTGATCCTGCTGACAAAATGAGGTATTCATACAAGATGCTACTGTCAAAATAGTTTACTTCACAGCCAAAAGAGATTCTTTGAAGAAATAAGCTCAAAGAGAAGCACGTTCTTATTTTATTTGCAAACAAAAATAAATCTTTTTATGCTCACAGGTGGAAAATCGAACTCTAGAAGCTCCTCCTGAAGGAGTAGTAAACGTGTTTGTCAAAACAGAGGGATCCCGGAAAGCCCACGTGAGGTGGGAGGCAC